AGCCGGTCTTCGTGAAGGTCGAGAATCTGGCGCCGGGAACCTGCGGTCACACTCTGACGGTCAAGGTCCTGACATCGAATACTGTCCTTAAGAAGGGGAGAGCGGCCTCCGCTAATCTGCGCCAGACCAAAATCGCTGAGTGCCTCGTCGGTGATGAGACCGGCTGCATCGTTTTCACCGCTCGAAATGAACAGGGTTCGATTCTATATCTCGATCTTTATTTTCTTTTTAATTCTTTTGTATTAATATTGGATTAATATAGGTTGTTTAGCACTAGTTGAATCTGCGGACCTTGGGTTTTAATGCTTTACTGATCTTATTTTTTTAATTAACTTATGGTTGGTGAAGTATGGAATTAGTGTTTGTGATGTTAGTTAAGTTTGCTGATTAGGTAGTTACGTAAGGTTTGCATGAATTGATTTCAAATTAATTAGCTAATGTCGGGCTTCATTTGAATCTTAATAATGGATTAATGGCATTTTTGTGTGGATGCCTGAACCTCGTTTTGGTTAATGGTTAATGGCATTCTGGGTGGATGCCTGACCTTTTTTTTATTCGAGTTTCCTTTAGCATAAGCTGAAACTGCACAACTTGGTTTTTAATGTTTTATTACTGTAAGTGGCTGATTAAAATGTTAACATATTTAGGGCGTTTTTTGCAATGCTTTTGATGGTTGTTTTGGATCGCTTTTGATGAGTGCTTCTCCGCTTTCATGGCAAAACAGCATTTTCCATAAAAGTTTGGTGTTTGGTGTTTGGTGATGAATTCAAAAAACAGCTGTTACCATAAAGTTATAAACACAATCCAAAACGTTTTATGTTTGGATATCCCAATCTTAGCCATAAAAGGAGAAGCCCCCTCAGATGATCTTTTTTTTTCCCCTCTCTTGCCATCTTTCCCAACTCTAAATTTGACTGAATTTCTTCTCCTTATTTCGCTCAGTGGATCTTATGGGAACTTTCTCTTTCCCACATGTATTGCTATCCGAACTTTTCAAACAACTATATCTAGTACTATTATTTAAGAAAAGCCACACTTTTGGTTCTACCCTTATGTGTGTCAATATTTCAAAAAATTCAAGTTATGTCCTCAACAAATTATTGTTCATTGAAACTAATTAGAAGCACAAAATTGGAAAGATCTAAAAGCTCTCTAACTACCATCCACCACTTAATAACTTTCCCTCCTTCCCACATTTTATAATAGTAAGATACTTTATATCATTTTTTAATAATTTTTTTAAAAATATATTCATATTATCATTGACTATTAAGATGCTTAAAAACATAGTTTTACGCACAAGTTTACTATATAATGCATGCATCGTGTGCACCGGAGACATTGTTTTAAAAAACCTCCGCCTAGTCCGCCTAGGCGTACGCCTAGGCCTAGGCGGTACTTAGGCCGGCTAACTAGCGCCTAGGTCGTACATAGGATGCCCATCTAGATTTTGACAGTGTTTAGGAGAGCATTATCTGCTTACGTGGACTGCACGCTTTAGGCCTTGATCGTGATTTTCTGTGTTGCAGCCTCCACGTCCTCAAACATTCTTTAAACTCCTTTAACTTTTAAATATAAACACCTCCACTACCTCCTCCAACCTTCAGCAAAACCTCCTCGACCATAACTTAAATGAAGTAAAAAATTCCACCTAGACATTAGTCCAACACCTAAGCTTTCTATAACATTGATATTTACTATCAAGTATTATAATTAAAAAATAAAAATAGAAAACCTCCTAGGCTCTAGGTGTCGAGTCCAATGCCTAAACATCCTAGCACTTTCTATAGCATTGTTAGTTATTATTTTGGCTATTTAGTATTTAAGTATAGTTTATTATGGATCTAAGATTACTATCTTTTGTTGGACAATTTTATATGAATTTAATATATATTTTTATCAATTATTATAATTAAATAATAAATAATTTAAAACATAGCCGAACGCCTAGGCGCCACCTAGGCATACGCCTAGGCGTCTAGGCGCTGGCTCAAACGTCTAGTCCGTCTAGCGCTTTCTGTAATATTGACCGGAGAACTAGTTTAATTATAAATTTTTTTTATATGCTCATAATTTAAAAAGGTGTTATATGTTGATGCACCTCTTGTGCCATGGGGTATAGCTGCTAATCACCCCTATTCTATTTTATTAGCACATACATCCCTTAACCCTCTTGGCAATTTGTTTTTTCCTCTTTAGTTTCTAAAGTCCATTGGGAATCTCATGGGAATGTTCTTGACAAATATCTAACTCTAGCATTCACATGATTCCCACAAGAGTTCAAAACTAATGTAAACCATGTCATCACCTGGACTGAGGGGTATATATGCCAATAAAAGAACGAGGAGTGATAAGTAGGTACACCCCTGTAGCATATGAGATGCATCTACAAATTACCAAATATCTTATCTGTATAAAGCTTATTTTTAAGAGGTACTTTTGGTTAAATCCTGTAGAAATCTACATATCTATAGCAAAAATGTGCCCTTTATTAGGTTTATCAAAAGTTAATTTCTTGTTAATATCTTAATAAAAAATCGTGTAGTCCTTAAATGATGTAGCTGAAGTAGTGATTTACATCAGTTATACCAACAATGCTATTGTGTAGCTTCAGTTGCTGTGTGTGGAAGACATCTCAGTGACCTCACAGACCAAACACCAGAAGACTTTTTAGTCATGTCTTGTAGTTGGAGTTACAATATGTCCAGCTTTTTGTTAAAAGTAACAAGGTTTATGTATCACTGAAATGCATGTGCTCTAAATGAAAATGTCAGGCACCCTACGGCAAAATTCCAGTGTGAGGCAAAATGCCAATTGACAAATCATTTTATCCAAAGTTTTGACTAAATGTTAATTAATGCTATAATATTTAATAATATGTAGTATTATTATTTTCTGTTCTTTTGCAAATTGTGTCCGATAAGACAACGCTTTTAAATTTATTCTTTGTTTTTGCTTGTTTAGTTAAAAATTGTTCGTTTGGCTAGAACCACGTTAGCCTCATTAGGGATTTACAGTGCTAAATATTTACTTTTTTCTTATTAGCAGATTAAGCAACTGTCCCCTCTTTCCTTGTCTATCTTTGTGACTTTTAATCAGTTGTAATAACAAATTTTGAGAAATTGGTATCAGGTTCTGATGTTAGTGTATCAGAAGGTTTTGCTTCAATTTTTGGATCTGTGGTTACTATACATTACATATACTTATGCACTGTTATGTGTCTGTATGTGTATGCATACCTACATCCATATGTGTGTGTGTGCATGTGCGAGTATGCGCGCGCGCGATACATGCACATATCCATTTTTTTACTTATCATGACTTTTTTTTGCCATATTTCCATAAGTTATATTTAATCAACTTTAGCTAGTATGTTTGGCTGAACCTAAGCTGATAAAGTTTGGAACTCATACTTCCAGCCAATATGAGACTAAAATTTGAAGCAACATCTTGAAGTGATACTTTCCAGAAGTACCTCATTCCTTGGTAATATCTGAGAGAAATAGAAAGGGTTGGCCTACTTACACCCTCCTCCCCCCTTATATCTTATTACTTTCATCTATCTTTTTCCTCTTGGGGAAAGTAACATCATGATTCTAACCAAGCTTTCTGCATGTTTTAAATCTGTACACATGTGAGATAGTCTAATCATAATATCCCTTTATTTTTATTCAAACAAGACATAATGATTTAGAAATTTTATAAGTTTTATTGAGTCTTTATAGATTTTGATGTCTTGTATGGTTGTTGCAGTGTGAGAGAAATGATGGAAAATCATCCATTGTTTTGCTTGTAATGTTACATTAGGTATTTACTGATCTACTAACAGCTAAGCTGAGTTGCTACTTTTCTTATTGAGACCATGTAAATGCTTAATGCGACTGAAGTATTAAACAAGAATGTTAGATCTGCCCACTTGCTAGTATGATTGGATGTATAATTATCAAATTTACAGCATTGCTTGTTTAATGTCATATTTTGAATTTGAAACTGAAGAAGTGTAATGTTTATCTGTGAACAAAATAAATATCTTAATTATTCAGTAGGAGATTTTAGGTTTTGAACATCATATCAGGAGGAGTTCTTGGGGCATGTTACATGCTTGAGAACAGACCAAAGAAATATAAAATTAAAACCTTTTGTAAGCAATAGGCATAATTATTTTATTTTTTTCTGGTAAGCAATAGGCATAATCAAAAGTAACATAAATTTTTTTTCTTAATAATTTTCCAAATCATAGTTGTGGTATTTCCCGTCAATGTCACCGTTTGTTTTTGGGTAAATGTTAATGATCTCAACCTTCATTGTTTAGCCTCAAGACGCAAGGTCTGCAATAGCATGTGATGTCTAATATGCATGTGATGTCTAATATGCCCTAATATGCGTCATATCTGTATCCTTTTATGCAAACGCAAGTAGTAGTAATCTAGATCCATATTCTTTAATATCCTTCATTCATATATCTGCTTATATTGTGTTATCAGCTCTCATTCTGTTTAATATTGTGGTATCCAATCTGTCTAAAATACTAAACAATTGCTTGATCAATATTTGGATTTGTAGCTTTCTATTACTACTGATACCTTGCTTTGTTATTGAATATGGATTTACAAGTTGATTATCAGTCATGTGGTTGAAGTAGGTGTTTCTTAATGCTAAACTGCTACTTTATCCAGGTTTTTCCTATTTATTATTAATATGACAAAATACTAACTGTGCATTGTTTTTTCCCCATATACAAACTAGGTGGGTTCTGTGTAAGGGCAAAGTATATTGCAGGATAAATTTACAGTTCCATCCTAGTTTACATTTCAGCTGCATTATAAGTGGATAATTTAGTTCGGTCACTGAAACCTAGTATAGGTGATAGACGACCTAATATTATCCAGCATGTGAGCCCGCATTTATTTTATTCCAGATGGATTTATTATCACGGAAACCATGAGAAATTTCTCATTTCCTTCGTGTTTCAAAATTTGATGGTACATGTTGTATACTAGGACTGCTGGGATATTCGCTTTTTTTCTTTTCTAGCTGTTCTAATTGCTGGTTGGTTGTCAACCTAATGTCAACTCTACCTTTTGATCTTTGTTTGGAAACACATTAGCTGAACACTATCTTTATGTTCGTTTGCAAGAAGCTGGACGTGAACTATGATCTAATTGGTTTTTTTTAATCTTATGAAATGTTATGGAACATACTTGTCTTGAGCAAGCAACTAATAATTATCTTCTTTGTTGGTAGAATTTTAAAGATGACTTATGTATTTTGTTGATAATTTGTAGCTCACTGTATTATATTGATATGATGATGTGTCACTGAATTTGCGAGCTTGCCTAGAGAAGTGTTGATTATATGGCCCTATTCTTTTGACAGTTGATATGATGAAACCCGGTGTCACTGTGATCCTCCGCAATGCAAAGATTGATATGTTCAAGGGGTCAATGAGGCTGGCAGTTGACAAATGGGGTCGAGTTGAGGTCACTGAACCTGCTAGTTTTACGGTTAAGGACGATAACAACTTGTCACTGGTGGAGTATGAACTTGTTACTATGCCACAGACTGAATAGGAGCTTAATGCAGATAATCACTTGGTTTTGGAGGAAGAATTTGGGAAACCTCTTCTAAGTAGTTTCTTTCGTCTCACTTCATTGGACAAAGGGTGGAAGTATTTACGTGAAACAGGTTGAAGCCAAACAAAATCTCACTGAAGCTAGTTTTATGCTTTTGTTTCGTTTATGTTATCTGATGGTCTCAATTAACCAACTGATAATGCGCAACTCAAGTGTGTTTTAGTGGATATAATGTGCGTGTGAACTTGGTAAGCACCTAAGTATAATAAGAATAGCTGTGGTTATATATCAACTTTTCTTATATACCTCATCTCCATTACAATTGGTTATAGTTTCTCTGCTTATTTAGTCTGATTAGACAGCCTAATTATGACTGTTAAGCGACAGAAGATCTTCATCATTGCTGAGAATGCGTTGGCATGGTCATAGTTGTGGATGCTATGTTTTGATGCTTTCTCAAACTTGTGTATAAATGCATTTCCCGCATTGTATGTTGTGTTTTGAGGTTGGTTCTCAGGGCCGTTTGCCTACGGCATTTTGATGTAAGAACCCTATTTGTAGTTTAGTCCGAGTTTTACTGATCTTTGAAGTAGATGCCCGATTTGACAGCAGATCTTTAAACCGTTCATCAATTTTGCTTTGGATAACTGTTTGAATAATGTTACAAATATCACTTCAATTGTTTCCGATGCCAAGTAGGAGTTGGATTTTTTTTTTAATCACTGATGAGCGGAAAAGAGGAAGATGAATAAGGAAAAGAGCAAGAAGGGGTCTTTGAAAGTCATTTAGGTCGTGCTGATTGTCGCCTGTGCGAGAACTCTGAGCATGATCGGTGAAGAGAGCCGCTGGTTTGCGCAATGCAGAAATAACCCGCAATGGGGAAATATTTCAAGGAGGCACCTTGAGGCCTACAAAACATTCAAGGCACCTTGACTCCTAAAAGTCGGTCGATTTCAGCAGCTACGCGGAGGCATAAATTAACAATTAGTTGTTGATCCGCTTCTGAAGGTGAAGCTATATTGGAGATTTGGCCTCTAGAAGTAGGAATCCTCAAATATTTACAGCCAAGAGGGTCCTTTTCTGGGGAGGTTTTTGCGGGGGGATCCATGAAAACAAATCTCTCTTTTCCTTCTGTGAAACCTTAATTAAAAGAAGATGATGATGGTAGTTGAAAAGATTAGTTACATCCACAAATCAAGTATAGCAGTTGAAAAGGCGCATCCTACATTCTTTGATTCTTTTGAAAAGTAGAAAATTGATAACGTCTCAGAACTACGAGCTCGCGGTTCTCTTAGCTGTGACCAAGATGGCGTTGATCTGTTGGAGAGACTATTTGCTAATATCCGAAGTAAAAAGGTGATAAATTTGCAACGTGACAGTATTACAAAACTGAAGCTTTCTAGGAATATTTATAAATCTAATCGATACACACGGAAACACGTGAAAGCCAGTTTGATCAGAGCAAGTGAACAATTCGATACGCCGGAAGACTTTCCTCTCATGTAACTCCCATACCCACCGATACAACACAACTTAAATAATACAAATTTATAGGCAATAATCAAATTACTAACAGAAGCATGAAACTAAAATTAAAAGATAAACAAGGTTAATTAACAAGGGATCTGGTCTACAAAGCACTGGATGACTTTGACCGGCATCTTGATGAGATCAATCGCCAAATTGGTCAGCCCGGCAAAGCACACGCAGCACGGGCACAAACAACTCAAGATCGTCCTGCATTGTTCCATGACAGGACATTTAAAGATAATATTAAGAAAGCAAAAACCGAAACCAACAATAAAGAAAAGAGAAACATCACAAGATATTAGATCATAATTCACTTACCCTATGATCCAAACAACTGCGCCAACTAAGGACAGTACCAATGCGAGAATTGCAAAGGGAAGGCCAACCAAGAACCCCAATGGCCTGCAATCTCCCATCTGTCTCCTTTGCTTTTCTTCTGGCTTTATTTTTCTTGAAACAGGTAGGCTAGTTTTTTTTTCTTTTTTTTGCTCTGGTATTGTGAAAGGTAAATAGGATAGATTCCTGAAGCGTGAGAGAGAGAGAGAGGAGAGAGAGAGAGAGAGAGACGAATTGACACGAAAAGGAATAGGAGGGAGGTGAAGTTGTATTGAGTTGACGGGTCTGCCGATGAGCGGGATCAGGGATTGCATTGGAGAGCAGGGCAAATTGGGTATTAATTTATTTTAGTTGGTAGGCGAGGTAAGTAGTTTGGTTGACTGAGTTGGGGAATGAATAATTTCCGTGTTGGATGGCTATATGATAATAATAAGAATAATAATAATAATAATAATTATTGTAGGAAGCTACTGAGTACTTGGGGTAAATTATATACATTCTGTACACGTTTTCATGGCTAACCATTAGCCATCGAAGTCAACCGTTGCGAGAAAATAGCAGCTAAATACATTTGAAAAGTTATAATAACATATTCTTATGTAGCCGTAACCATTTTTTTATAGGAATTATTGGTAACAATGTCGAGGTTCTATATAATTCACTCCACATAAGAAAATGATAGCAAGACGATTTGTAAGCTCTCTGAGACTACAATACACAATATATTTCCTAGAATTCAAAAAGAAGCAAAATCCTATCTTTCCATGCAGTTGCCATGGACTTATATGATTTGAGTCATAATGTGGAAACTATTGTAGAGGGGAATAGACATCCTACCAGAACGCCCTGCATAGTGCGGGGGCATTCTGATGCAGGGCATTCTAATCCAAACATGGGCGTTGCATGAAAGGTGTTTTTGTAATTATTTTGAAACATGTGTGGTGCAGATTTTCCCACACAGGACTCTGTTTTGATAGGAATACCGCTCTTGTATGGGGTGTGTATTTAATTTGCTTGTTCATTCTTGCCCCACTCGTACGTAGTGAGACTTACAATTTTGAAATACTGTGAAATCTACTGTATTCTGTAAAGGAATTTTTTTTTAAACGAGATAATTTCATAAAAATATTTATCGTTTTTGACCTATACAAAAATATATATCAATCTCGATCTAGTTTCAACCACATCAGCTAAAACTAGGTCGATTTAAAAATGTCCTCTGAAAACTCTATGGTATTGTCAATCTCATAGAGTTTAATGATTGGATTTAACGACATGGGGTTGCCAACCCCATGCAGTTTAGCTCAAGTAAACTCCACGGGATTGCCAATCCCGTAGAGTTTATTTCTGTTGTAAATCTCTACGGGATTAGCAATCTCGTAGAGTTTGTTCTTGTAGAAAACTCTACGGAATTGAGAATCTCGTAGAGATATCCTTAGCACTAATCTCAGATTCCCAGCCTGAAGCTATACCCTGTTACACATTGTATTGACATTGAAAGCTAGTCACAATTCATAATATCATAAAAAACTAGAAAAATGTAAGAATACAATCATAATATCAGTACCTCCCTTATATCAATCCAACAACAAACCAAAAACACACAATCTAACATGTTCAAATCTCATATCATATATAATCCAAATACGAAAAAAGTCACATACATCCAAGCATGCCTCCCCTCATTCCTTTCCCTCCCTTACCTATACCCCGTCCCGAAGGCCATCCTTGACATCTAGCATGAGCCTCAATGATTTCATTATCTGGCTGTGTATGTAGCTATGTAGGTGGTCGTTATGCACGCGGATCCTCCTCCCCTGATTGAGCATGGTGAGAAGTACTAGCTCCGTCATCAATCGCATGGTGAGAAGTACCGGGTCTGTCATTACCTATAGTAGAAGATCTCGGCCTACATCTTCATCGCTCATACACTGCCATGTGTTGATATGTTTTATCCTCTTGCCCTTCATGATCGTCTACATGATTCCTATGGAAGACAACGACAATTGTTCTTCTAATCTTGTCGAACACCGATAACGATCTTGGATCATTAATCGCAATAATACTCATTTTATGCTCTTCAATATCATCAAATGCTAGTATCTACATTTTGGACAAATGATAGACAACTTATCAGATGTGAACATAATCATAAAACCCCCTTAATTGTGGATGATTACCAGAAAATTCACCTTAACTTTGGAAAATATTAGAAAACCTTTGATGGGGCATAAATATGTACCAAAAGTTGCAAGTGCACAACTAATCAAGTTATAATATAAAAAGTTATCGATCTCACGAGGAAGGTGTTTGTAGGAGAAAATTAGATTTAGTTCTTATGTTGTGTGCGTGACAATTAGGAGTGATGATATATGTGATTGTGGAGAGATACGAGAAGTGAGAGTGATTATATGTAAATAAGCATAAAAGGTGATTGAGAGTGGATGTGATAAAGAATAAATAAAATATTAAGGAAAAAATAAAGAAAATAAAAATCAAGAAACAAATAAGAGAAAATCAAGAACTAAGGAAAGATCAAGAAAGAAAAGATGGAGTATTCAATTAAAGATACGAGGAATCTAGAATTGAATCAACTAGCTAATCTTAATTATAAAATACGAACTATTATCTTTTTATCATATTTCACTTTAGATTGATTAAGCATAGACTATCAAACAATTTAAGGAAAGTATAACCTATCAAATTATCATCTAAGTAAAATTAAGATTCATGACAAGAATAATAACAAGATAGTAATTCTAGAATTCATAAGCATAATCTATCAAATCACTCAAGATAAGCATAGATTATCAAATTCTTCTTGTAATTCTAGAATTCATAAGCATAATCTATCAAATCACTCAAGATAAGCATAGATTATCAAATTCTTCTTCTACCAATTAGTTCTCTAGTTGATTGATAAGCATAGATTATCAAATTCTTCTTCTACCAATTAGTTCTCTAGTTGATTATCCTATACATGATTATGTTAAGTACAAGAGAATAATTCACATAATATAATGGAAATTAGACTAGTTTCATACAATTCTAAAATTCCTACAAGAGTTAGTTTCACATCTTAAGAAATAAAAGCAAGAAATGACATAAAAGAATAAGAACTAATTACAAATAAGAGAAATAAAAATAAGAAAATTTACACTATGAACAAGAAATAAATCTAACTAAAAAGAAATAAAAATGTAAGAAAATAAATCTACTCTATAAATTAAAATGAAAAACTAAGCTACAAAATAAATTACAAAAACTAAGCTATAAAATAAATTGCAATAACTAAGCTATAAAATAAATTGTAAGAATTAAATACGAGAAAATAAAGACATGAAAGTAAATCTACACTACAAAACATTAATGTAAATCTAAACTACTAAGAAATAAGAAAATAAATAAAATAGAAAATAAAAAAACAAACCTCCAAATTGATCTTCATCTTCATCTTCATCATCCAACTAAGAGAAGAAAAATATGAAGTGGCAAAAAAATTTATTTTATTAATTGTAACAGAAAGTTATAAATTTGGAAGGTGTTCTCAATTAAGCGTAACACTCCTCTCCAAATGGAGTTACAAAATTTTTCACACCTCTAACTCCTCACTTTCTACCCCTATTTATAGTAAACATCAATGAATATGAGCATTTGGATCGAATTCTTATCCAAAACCCTTGAATTTTAGCCATAGGATTGTAACAGAACGGAGGCATCGATGGCGGCATCGATGGCGGCATCGATGCTGGCATCTATGCTGCCATGGATGCTAAATTCCTCCTTTCGGATTGGGAGATATGCAATTTTTATATATTATATGTTAAATCCCGCCTTCCGGATTGGGAGATATCGTTGTTTCTTTGCCACCAACCATCTTGAATATAATTTCTCTTCATATTGGATTTTTGATTTTCTCCGGCTTCTATAAAATGTTACAAAATAAGGAAGTTGGAGTCTTTTGGGCTTTTATTCATTATTTCTTCATTAACCTACAATTAAAGATAAAAATAATTATTAGTGGTATATTTATTTATATAAAATAGATAATGAGTATATAAAATCATAATAAAAATATAATTATCAAATATCCCCACACCTAAACTTTTGCTAGTCCTCTAGCAAAGAAAGAAATTAAAAATCCTAACTCACTTTCGTAGGAATCGCAGTTGTATTTAGCATATACAATAAGCCTTAAAACCCCTAGGTTACCCTAGAGAACGAGTTGTAGTCTCATGAGGGTTTGCAGTGAATATACCCACAAATTTTAGTCAACTTGCCAATTTAAAGAGGTCAGTAAATAACTAAAATTACTTGATAAATTTAGACAATCTAATTAAGTCAACTTGCCAATTTAAAGAGGTCAGTAAATAACTAAAATTACTTGATAAATTTAGACAATCTAATTAAAGCTAGTTATTACTCAAGAAAAGTCAGTAAATAACTAAAATTACTTGATAAATTTAGACAATCTAATTAAAGCTAGTTATTACTCAAGAAAATGTTTTTATATATAACTCCAAAGTGAATTTCCTAGAAAATATTCTCATTATGACAATACAAAACCAAGTCAAACTTAGAAATTTAATTAAAAGTTTTGAAAAGAACATACTAACTCTTTGTTTTAAAAAAAATTCAAATCTCTTGATCAAAAATATTTTTTCAAGACCATATATACAAATATAAAACATTTGTTAATTTTTTTCAGCTCTTTCTTCCTTGGTGATTTTTTCTACTTTAACGGGATTTCTAAGGGACCATTTAAGGAGTTTTGGGCTAATGGATCCCAACCCAATTGGGCTTAGGCTATTAAGTATGGAAATACTCATTGGGCTTAATTACTCGTTCAACTTAGGCTTTATAAGATAGAATCGCATTGAATTTAAGAGTTTTTTTTTCTTTTTTTTTTGCCTATTTTCCGCACTCTTCTTTTGCAAGGTTAGTTTTACATGTATATATTCTGAAAAATATGCAAATCAAGACAACTTGAAAAATTATTTTCAACTCTAAGTTAAGCATGCAAAAATTTTATTATTTTAATTAAAAGTCTAAGCTAAGGTTTCAGTAAGGTATACTACTTTGAAAATTATTTCTTAAGAAATTTATTTAGAGTTATCATAAAAGGTAAACTTGAGTACATAACAAATTAGGGATTAGAAAATTTAAACTTTATCAAATGAATCAATTATTACTTAACTCTATCAATTGGCAAGTGACAATATTTTCTCATCATTTTTTTTAAGAAAGAAAGAAGTGTAAAAAAAGAAAAAAAATTATGAAAAAATACAACAAAAAGGTAAAATAAAGAG